ACTGAAGAAGTCTTATACTTCTTTTATTAAGTTTATTTCTAGGTATTTTATACGTTTAGATGCTATTATAAATGGAGTTATCTTCTTAATTTCTCTTTGGGATTGTTCACTGGCAATATGTAAAAATGCAAGTGATTTTTGTATACTGATCTCGCCTCCTGCAACCCTGCCAAATGTGTTTGTTCTGATAGCTTTTTGTTTGTTTTGGTGAGTCCCTTCCTTAGCATTTTCTCTATAGAAGATGTATCATCAGCAAAGAGTCTTACTTTTTTCTATCTGGATGGCTTTTTTTATTTTTGGTACCAGGGATCGAACTCGGGTCCTTGCACTTGCGAGGCAGGTGGCAGAACCACTGAGCTAAATCCCCAGCCCATCTTTTTTTTTTTTTTTTTTTAAATTCTATTTGCCTAATGTCCCTGGGTCCCTGCCCTTTTAAAACCTACATACTTTCTTGAGCAATTCCCTCTTTTTTCCTCATTAGAAGAAATCCTCTAAGGGCCAGAGGACAGGGTGTAGTAGGTAGGAGGAATCAAGGAAGTGAGGCTCTTAAAAGCCGGACGTTGCAATGTGTAGTTAAAACTGATTCAGTTGGGTCTCACAGCTCTCAGCGGGAACATCTGTCTTCATAGCTCTTCGATTCCGGGATTTTTCTGAAGGAATCTCTGAAATCTGTCTTCTCAAGGTACGAACACACCCTAGGTGAGCCTATATACACCCTTCCTTGGCTGTTACACAGTCTAGGATGATGCCGTCACTTTCCCCAGTGCCCATCTCTTCTTCCCTGAGAGTCAGGGGTAAGCTGGCCACCAGTTCCTACCACTCATCCTGTCTAATGGGGGAATAAAACAGGGTGACCACAGGGCTTTCAGCTGTTTGTGTTTACTGCAAAGAGACTGAGAGTATCTCCACCACCTCTGAAGCCTCCTTCTGGACCAATGCTGCGATCTGTGATCTTCGGGAGAGCCCACTAACCTGCTCTACTCATCACTAATGGCTTTGCTGAGTGGCTTTATAAATGGAGAAAGAGGTTCCCTTCCCTGTCAGTGCAGGACCTGTGTTGCCGGTGACCTCTTGGGATATGCAGGGAACCAAGTGGATAAGAATCTGTGACTGTGCTGGAGGCACCCCACCACCCCCAGGCAACTATGAGCTAACCAGGCTCTAAGCTAGGATCCAGGATGGCTGGCACCCTGCTCTCCACTCCAAGGGCCCAAATCTTCAGGACAGCTGCCCTTTTGTTTGGGACTTTTCTCCCAGGGGCTAATCACTTCTCTTTCCTGTCTACACCAACTTTCTTTGCACCCTTGGGGTACAAATGGTTCCAGCGCCTACTGACAAGTGGTCAATTTGGATCAGTCACCAGGAATTAAATCTCAGGGCCCAACTTAAAACTATGTTTAGTGACTCCATGAAACTTCTCCCCAAATAATAGACCAGAGAAGAGTGAGAATAACATGAAAAAAAGATTCCTATGAGTTGAACTGTGTCCTTCTACCTCAGGCTACATATGGAAACAGAGAAGGCCAAGCTGTCTCCGGGCTGTCACAGCTTCAAGGAGGGACTCCCTAATTACAAACAGGCAGAATGAGGCCCTCACGGCAAAGAAAACAGGAGGAAATGCCCAGGGTGCTGTGAACATGTCACCACTAAATTATAACAATGCATGCTCTTATTTGTTGTGTGCTTAACACAAAATCTCCACCCACTCTTGTACCATTTAGTTGTAAGACTTTTTTATCCCAGTACTAAAAAACTGGTATTACTAAGACCTTAAATGTATCATCTGTTTGCCACTTTTTGAGGAGCCAGTCACGGCAGTGTATCTACAGTTCATTTGAGGGTCCAAGGTGATAAGTTTAATACTATTTTCAGCTTATTAACAATCACCAAGTAAAACAAAGCATTTTCTTTGGTCTCCTTTCATATTCACCTTTCTGTCTAGAATTACATTTCAAGACACAGTGTATCTGCTTTGCTCAATTCATTCACAGTGTATCTACAGGCCTGGATTTAACATATTTCCTGTAGTGACAACTACTGTACTTTATTTGCAGGAATTATTTAGGTTACTGGAGTGAAGAAAAAAGAGGTCGCTACTTAAGAGAAAAGGCATGTATCCAAATATAGAGGCAGATTTCTGAACACCTGTTGAACATCAGATGACAAAGAAACTGCTAGAATTTTCAAAACCCCACACCCAAATCTTAAATGGTCAGTCACTTTGTTTCAACCGATAAGGGGTCTTAACCCCGAAAACCAGATATCCTTACCAAAGAAAGAGCTTTAAAACCACGGCTGCTTTAGAAATAAACAGCTTATTTAAAAAGCAATCTGTTTCCATGTAAATTATTTCTCATCGAAAGAAATTAAAGGAATAAAGATAGGAAAAGAAGAAGTTAAACTGTCATTATTTGCTGACGATATGATACTTTACATAGAAGACCCAAAAAACTCCGCCAAAAGACTTAGACTTAATTGACAGATTCAGTAGAGTAGCTGGATACAAGGTCA